CACCCAATGCTCTCCCGTTCCAAACCAGATGCAAAGTGGTATGTATATACGCTGTCTCTTATACACATCTAGATGTGTATAAGAGACAGCATTTAAACTGTGTAAAAAAAATATCAATATCAATATTAGACAAACGAAACCTATTATAAATTTCACATAAACATTTAAATAAACCTCTACAGAAAAATAAATCTTTTACAGAATATTTCTAGAAAACAATTCTGTAATATTTAATTATTACAGGTAACAAAGAATTAATTCTGTACACAGAATAGTTGTAGAAAAAAAACTGAAAACTGTTTATAGAAAACAATTCTGTAGTACTTAATTATTACTGTTAACGAAGAATTAATTCGGTACAAAGAACAGTTATAGAAAACAAACTGAAAACTGTTTACAGAAAACAATTCTGTAGTACTTAATTATTACTGTTAACGAAAAATTAATTCTGTACACAGAATAGTTTGACAGTAAAAATTGTTTGGGTACATACAGTAATTATTTCTATTAACACAAAATTAACACAGAATTATTTCTGTACACAGAACAGTTATATAAGTATTATTAAATTACAATTGTGAGTATAATCTTGTTTATTCAATACTTCTATGACTGATGATTTTTCAAAATGTAAAGGCCTACCTATCAAGTACACCTGACTGAGAAATACAGACCACAAGACAGAAAAAACAAACTACTGTACATCACAATTACATTAAATTCATACCCAGTACAAGTGGTTCTGATGTATATCTGGAATATGAAGAAAATAATGAATAATTTGCTACCACTACAATTCAAAATTAACAGCAATCTTTAGATTGCTTGTATCCATCCTAAGCCACTTGCAGCTCCCACTCTTGATCAAAAACAGAATTCACAGAGACCGATCCAACAAAACTGCTTTCACTATAAAAAACATCTCCAACTATAATTAAGCATTAAAACCAACTTACAGATCTTGCATATTACACTATTCTATAAGTAATTAACTGTTGAAAACATAAAATAAAGTAAAGAAATTACAATGAATATAATAAACAACAATTTTTGTAACAGAGAAAAACACTAAAATGCATCAATCAACAATAGTAATTAGATTTCAGTAACTAACAAATTAACAAATTATCTCAAATATAATTGTGTCATAATAACTTACCTCCAAGATCTTTAACATTGTGAACAAATAACTCAACATTAGCTACCATGGAGCTCAATCCCGCCAACGACAAGGCGAAGAAAAACAGTATAGCTAATACACGGCCACCACTGATAGTATTGTATAGTAATGGAAACCTATCAAACCAAAGCAATCTTGATTCAATTATCATGTTGTATTTTATATTTGCCACTATGTCAAATGCGAATAATCCTATCAACATTAGATTTATAGTACAAGGATACAAGGATACTATATTCCTCCCGCTACGGGGAAATTTCATGGCTGGATACAACAATGTGAAAAAGCATAAGACTATTTACTATTATAAAGATAATAATAATAATATTAGTAATAATAAAACTATTAATAATAATAATAATAATAATGATGATAATGATAATGATAATAATAATAATAGTTATGATATATTTGTATTAACTTGTTATTAATCAATACTGACCACCCACACTAAAACCCTCTACCTCTGATGTTTACTATTGAAGTCCCTAATTCCTCTGGGGAGGAATTATTAGTATTTTTATTAACACAATTAAACATTACAAAAAGTGAAGAAAAAGTTTGGAGTGGCGTATCTAGGTGGCACGCACACGCCCCTCCAAAGAATACTCACACCCCCTTTCGTCCCCAAATAATCACGCTCAAGTAGTTAAAAATCACCTTTTCAAAGGTGAGCACCTAATCAAAATTACATTATTTTGCTAGTTAGAGCTCCTCACCTAATCATTTTATGTTTTACTGTTTAAATAGAAGACAACGTAAAACCAATATCAATAATATTCTGTGTGAATATTATATTTACCATATAAATGTTAATCCTGTGTTAGCAGGGCCGTTTTCCTTCAGAATAACCACAATTTCCTCTATTGTGTCATTAGCCTGTAGTCTTGAGGAGAAGACAGTTGCATATGTAAGCATACCGCAAGTCAAGCTAAACAATTTGAAAAATTGACAAATTATTTAACAAAAGGCATTGCATATCTCATTTAATAACCTTATTTTGTTCTGAATTATCTCTTTCTCAGTACAAATGTTTGCACCATTAGGGCAGGCTTTAAAAGAGGCACTGGACAGGCCAAACCTGCTGTCAGCCACAACTTGGGACAAACTTATTGTGCTAAAATGTCTCAAAAAGGAGCCAGGCCCCACCACATATTCACCTAATAGTGACTATACTTTGTTGGAAATGTTCTAGCTGTCCTGTGAGGCAAATCTTAGCAGCACCCAAACCAAGTCTACAGCACAAATAGGCAATCCAGCACATACTAATATGTGGCAAAGACAAGCCAAATCAGGCACTCATCGTAAAAATCAATTTTTAGTTATTGCTACAGGGTTAAAGAATAAAATGTGAGCTATAAAATGGTAAAAGAATCATTAAAATCTCGACATTTCGTTATGAAGTTGCAGGAGTTTAGACATACAGCTGTTTAAAGAACAATATTTGAGAAATCAGCCTTCAAAGTTTATGATTTTGGGTATTTCTCAGGCAGTGGCGTCGAGAGGGGGGTCGGGTCGCTGCCCACGGGGCCCAGGTCTACTGGGGGGCCACAGGGCAGCGAAAATTTTCGGGTAAAAACAAAATCTCCATAGGGCCCGAGCCCAAGCCAGGATGAAAACTTTTGTTGTCAGAAGAAACTCTACATTATGGTTTTATGGGCGTCTTTCTCAGTCTTTCTGTATTTTTATTAGATGAATAATCCCCCCCAGGGGAAAAGTACACCCAATGCTCTCCCGTTCCAAACCAGATGCAAAGTGGTATGTATATACGTGTATTATATATATAATTATTATCGTTTATTCATCAGATTATTCTGATACATCTACCTTGCAAAAAAATAATCACATGGATGGACATGGACAAATAGGGTCTTAGGAGAAGACTTAATTTGGGGAGCGGCCGAGTGGGGGTCCCAGTGAAGGGGGGGGGCCATGTGAGGTGTTGCCCCGGGGCCCTTACTGGCTCTCGACGCCACTGTTCTCAGACAGAAACCCCAGCAGAAACCCATCACTAAATCGTTAAAAATTGTTGCTTTGACATTGAAAATGATTAAAATAACATCATAGCATGATATATACTGTAGATATATAAAGGTTAGGTTAGTGTAATAAAATAGAATTAAAAAAATGTTGACATTCCATCATGTTTTGGCCATTATCTCTGAAATAGGATTTGCAATGAGTAACTGGTTTGGCTTGTCTTTGCTACATATAGTTTTTTCTCATAAATGGACTCATCATGCAAACAATCAATGTGCTAACACAATGTTTACCAAGTGTCATGCAGTGCAAACAGACAGACCAATATCATGCTTTGAAATTACATGTACAAGATGCAGTTTATGGAATAATGTAACAGAAATAATATGTGACATCTTGAAGTGATCGAGATGCTAAAAGCAAAGTAAGTGCAGGCAACTGCAGTGGTGTATTGCATAAGGAAGCGACATCTTTCTTTATCCTTTAAGTGATCAAGACGCTAGCACAGGTAAGTGTGGTGTATTGCATAAGGAAATTATGGGTTGTTAAACTGCAGCCCTGAGTTGAACAACAAATGAGTTTAGCAACAATGGAAAAGCAATTCAGAATTCAGATAATGTACAGTCACCAGTACAAAATGGTCTTATTTTTAACATGAACCAATTTAGTCTGAAATTGAAAACAATGACCATCACTTAATTCTCCCAGCAAGCTTACCCTTAGATTATCACCCAACAGTCACACCCCATTGTTAATACACCTAAATACCCACTAACCAGGGCCACTCTGAAAACCAAACACACAGATATACCTGATTTTGAACAGGGAGTAAGCACATACAGTAGATATAACTAACCCACCAAGGAACATCCCTCCATGAAACAAACTTGGGCAAGAAGTGCTGCAGGCAGTAGCGGAAACAGTAGGGGCAGGGGTCTTAAGTCCCCCTCCCACATTGGGCAAGCGAATCCCTCCACTCACACCAGCCAAACCCTGCTATGCACTCAGACCAAAAAAAAAAGCCTATGCCTTTTTCTGTCAGTCTGTAAGTGCCATTTCCGTTCCATTTTTAAAAAACCGTTTTGGAGGGAGAACCCCCTCCCCCAGCGCAGGTCTACGGCCCTCGGATGGTGCTATGCGCCAATATCTCACTGAGCCTGCCCCTGTCTCACAAAATTCTGGAGTATGTAAATACATATCTACCATGTTTGCATTTGTGTGTAAATAGGCTATTGTACCATAAACAGATGTGTACCATAAATTCACCATAAGGTAAATATTCTGTACCTTACAATGTTATTTCCTAGTGGAGTAAAAAGACCTATGGGGACTAAAGCTATGTCTGCTCTCATATATATGGCATAAGTGAGGAACAATCCCCAACCTGCACCGACATCAAATCCATTTTGAATCAATGCATCAGTCCACAGCCTTGCATCAGCAAGCATATCTGCAATGATATTTGAATTAATGATATATACTATTAACAGTCAACATGTATTGGATCAAATAGAGGGCTTCTGGCAAGTGCAATGGTGTATCTGCCGATTATTTAATCAGTTATTAAAAAACATGTTTAATAAAATTTCACAGCTGGAATTGGGGCTAAAACCATGGTTGTAAATAAATGGTTACAAGCATGGTATCATTAGGGTTGGGGAGTGGTTTTGGTTGGTTGGTTGACTGCAATTCAAACTGCATCAACCATGATCTCAGCGGTGACTTCTATACAAATGACTGTGCACTCCTTCCTTGTGTGGGCGATCAAGTGTCTCAAAAACAGAGACCTTGAAAACAGAGACCCGAGACACACTTGAAAACAGAGACACACCTAGAGTCTCTGTTTTTGAATGCTGGGTCCCTGTTTTCGTAATCGATACTCGAAAACAGAGACCCAGCTATATGAAAGCAGAGACCTACTAAAAAAAAACAAAAATCGTGTTAAATTTGTAAATAATTACACTCGCAAATAAACCTATCTATACTGCATACAGAGCCCTATACAACTCGTCTTCATTTGATTCTGCTATATACGCGTCTGATAGGCTGGATAACATACAACTTACTACACCAGCCATGAGTGTCACCTACCAAAGCTGGATAGGAATTTGGCAACAGACGATTGATGATACTGTAATTGAAAATATAATTTTCTGTTCCTATGCTACAATTGACCCAAACAATTTCTATGATTTACAAAAAGAAGAAGGATTTGCGAAGTTTGTTTGTGATCGAAAATACCTCTCAAATGTTGTCTGCCTGGTTTTACTAAGCAGTTAAACAGTTATGTTTAATTGGCTACAGATTATTTCCTCTATAACTGTCCCTAGCCAATTTTTATCATGTTAATCATAGTCAGATAAATAAATGAAATGATATAACAGCTTATTTTATTACTATATTATTTAGCACAGCTATGTGCTATGTTAGGTTGTTGATAAAAATACAGTTACATAGCCACCTTTTTGTTTTATACAAATCATAAGGAGTACCTAGGATATGTCATTAACAAACAAAATACCCAAATAAAAATAGCATGTTGAAAATTGGCAAGTCCAGTTGAAAATCTGTGAATCAGAGGAAAAAATGGTATTTGAATGTTCTTACGTTTGTTTTAATTGGTCAATAATAATAATAATAATAATAGCCTAGCATTTATAACCAGTAGAGGGGAGATCCCCTGTTAACACTCCTCCCCTCCCAACCCAAATTTTAGGTGTGAGCTGTGTGCCATTTTTATCCAGGCATCTAGAGTTGCCACCACATTTTAAACTCAGCCCAGATCTTGTACAACCATGGAGGTATAAAAATATTTTTTTATTTTTATACCTCCATGGTACAACTGAGCTGGGTGTTGACATTCCTGTTACTTCTGCTTTTTTGCACAATTTTGCAACCAATTATTTGCTCTACCAGTACTTACAAATAAACAAAGTTCAGAGGTGGATCCATAATTTTTCAAACAGGAGTGGGGGACACAACAATTTCAGAGTAGATATTTAAAGTGAGTAGCGCTAATTTCAATACATAACATTGATATGCATTGAAATCTTAAAATTTAATGGCTGAAAGGGAATGTAGAGGGCTGCTGAGAAGAGAAAGGGAAATTGCATAAAGTCATTGCTGTAATAGAAAACATGAAATTCTGTACAAATAAAATAAAAATTCTGATCACCTGTTGCTGATTATGATTTGCTAAACAAATTGATGAATAACAATAAACAATAGAGTGCAGAAACAAAAGATACCACAGTGGTCTACTTGAATATTATTACAAAAGAATGCATGCTGAGTATTTTATTTGAAAGAATTTATTGCTATAAATGATAATTTTTGAGGAATGAAAGACCTAATCGAAAAATGGCGTGGTTTGAAGGACATTTTTGGCCTATTTAAAACCAGACTTTGAAACCCAACACATTATCATCACTCTGACAATACTGGTATCACAACATTTTACATGGAAAGCTATCCAAATAATACAAAAAGATTTGCTCAGATGGCTCACATCTACAGTAGCTGGATCACTTTAATTTTCAACTTCAAATGGCTGATATCCAATCAACAGGTAAGTTTTAAAATTGCCTTTGCAAATCGAAAAAAATTTTAATAAATTGCTTTCTTGTAAGCATTTTCTAAACCAGTGTTCGCTACAAAATAACTATTTTCTAGCATATTAAAATAGGATATCACTTTATCCATTTCACAAACACTTTTGTTAAGCAGTATTTAATTAGTATACAGGATGGTAATTAGATATCCATCACTAGCTGGATTGATTTTATTTCTACATGTTTGGAGAAGCATTACAAAAGGATAATACAAGAAATCTAATCAAGATATCAAAATTTAAGCATTAATTTTTAAACATTTTTAAACTGATTTTTAATTGAGGATACTGTTTATTTATGTGTATATCTTTATTGCTTGTATATTTTTCTGTCAAGGCCAAATAACTTTCCCCATTGTGGGATAATAAAGTTTTATTGAATTGAAATGAACTGAATTTTCAAGACTGCCCTTAAATTGAAACGATAACTTCTTAGTTCTTGTTAAAAGCATTTTCATTCAAATCATGCCTTCGGTTGTTTCCATGTAAATGCTTGTATATAAAAGTAGAATGCAAGTTACAAGATGGGCTTACACTCAGAATACTATGGTATGTAAGGATAAAATGTAACATACTAAAAGCGATAATACTGTGATAAATATTATGGCTCAATTTTTGTTAAAATCCTTTTTTTTTGTTGATAGTAAAGAAAGATTAAATTGACTTATACTCAAACAGTTCTTATAATAATTAGACTAGAAGAAAGTATTAAAAAAAGCATGATAGCAAGAAGGGACAAGGACAACACATCTGACTACAAAAAGCTCAACACACCATGCTAAGACACAGGTGATAATGGTATGCACATTGGTAGATCCAGAAGGGAAGGGGATAACAGGGGATAATATATTGATGTGTACAACAGGTTTCACATTTTGTGCCTGCTATTTTCACTGTGTCAAAATTCAAATTTTCTATGTGTATTTAAACAAGTGGGTGTCTCTTGGTTCTCCCTTGTTCCTTCTTGTTCCCCAGTGGATGGCCATTGGTTCATCCTTGTTTCCCAGTGGATGCCCCTTGGTCCTTCCTTGTTTCTCCTTGTTCCCCCGCATCCTGGATCCATCACTGGCATTATAATGAGCCACTCTAAAATGTAGTACCTGACAAAATTATTGCCCATTGGAATGAGAGCACCAAGTTTGACAATGCCATGCTCAGCCGTCATATAGGCAGCATATGACATGAAAAGCCCACTGGCTGCTCCTGTGTCAAATGCATTCTGACTTATAGCATCTACCCATAACCTTGCTTCCTTCAATTCACCTATGAAAAAAAGTACTTGATCACAATCATTGTTCACCTCAATAATAATAATAATAATAATAATAATAATAATAATAATAATAATAATAATAATAATAATAATGATAATAATAATAATAATAATAATAATAATAATAATAATAATAAAAGAATAATAAATAAATAAATATCATGATGATGATTATGATGATGATGATGGTGATGATAATGATGATGATGATGATAATAATAACACCATAAAAAATAAATATTCTGAGGAATGGGAGTACCTAATATAAAAATAGGAGAAACTACTAACATGATAATCACCATAGTAATTATCAATAAATATCTAATTGATATAATAATAATAATTATACAATAGTACAGCTACATGTTTAAAATGATAGTTCAAATATAGAAATAATATATTTCAGAAAAAGCCGTTATCAGGAGTTGCAAGCTACTCTACATTACAACATAACTGACTGAAGTACTCACCCTAATCAGGAGTTAAGCTATTCAACATTTACAACAAAAATTAATTAATGAATAATGCTCACCCCAATTACAACAAAACTAAATGAAGTACTCACCCCAATCAGGAGTTACAAGCTACTCAACATTACAACATACCTGACTAAAGTACTCACCCTAATCAGGAGTTACAAGCTACTCAACATTACAACATACCTGACTAAAGTACTCACCCTAATCAGGAGTTACAAACATACCTGACTAAAGTACTCACCCTAATCAGGAGTTACAAGCTACTCAACATTACAACATACCTGACTAAAGTACTCACCCTAATCAGGAGTTACAAGCTACTCAACATTACAACATAACTGACTGAAGTACTCACCTTAATCAGGAGTTACAAGCTACTCAACATTACAACATACCTGACTGAAGTACTCACCCTAATCAGGAGTTGCAAGCTACTCAACATTACAACATAATGACTAAAGTACTCACCCTAATCAGGAGTTACAAGCTACTCAACATTACAACATAACTGACTGAAGTACTCACCCTAATCAGGAGTTACAAGCTACTCAACATTACAACATAACTGACTGAAGTACTCACCCTAATCAGGAGTTAAGCTATTCAACATTTACAACAAAAATTAATTAATGAATAATGCTCACCCCAATTACAACAAAATTAAATGAAGTACTCACCCCAATCAGGAGTGAAGAGGAACTTTATGCCTTCTGCAGCTTGATCCAGTGTTAGAGACCAGATAAATGTGAAGAGAATTAAACCAAGGAAAATTGGGACAGTGGCTGTGTTGACCATTTCAATGGACTTGACTCCCCATGCTATCGACAATGCTGCAAAACTTATAGCCAAAAAGTGGAATAAAACTGGCCAATCAGAATACTATAGTAATCAAAAGAAATTAAAATGTTTTAGTATAAAGATAATAAATTGTTGAGAAATCATACTATCCCCCATCAGAATTTGAATCAATGGAAGTGCATCTTCTTATCAATTTTATGTGATTTAATTCAGTAAATTTATTTAAACTAATCTACTTTAAAACAGAAATAAAGTGCAGCAAAGATGCTGAATTAAATTTTTAAATTTACAATATGTCTAAAAAATGAAAATTAAAAAAAACATCATTATATACATCAAGAAAATAAGTAAAATTCTAATCATTGAACATTCTAATTAAATAAGGAACTGGACACAATAGTCACATTTGGAATTAAAACCAAGGCCCAAGATCACACGCCAAGCACATTTCTAAGCACACTCAATGCACATTGATGCGCTGTCATAACTCATTGTTCCAAGCCAGAACAGCATACAATATTCCAGAACTGATCAAACTGCGCTTGGGTAGACCATGATGAGATAATCGGAAGGGAAACCGAGATGTTTAAGAGTATGTATATAATGAAGTTTATTGTTCCCTACTTTAATAGTTAATTTGAGAATCCCAACCAAGATCTGCTGGGTCAAAACGACTAAAAACTGCCAATTCACTTTTAAAAAATTTCGAAAAAAAAAAAAAATTAATCAAAATTGTCTTTGTAACTCAAAAAATTAATTATGACAATTTGAATAATGATTCAGAAAAATATGAACACGTAATCTTGTCAACTTTTATTTTTGTCACCAACATTGGGAAACAGTTAAAAATCATTCATGAAACCTACGTTACGATATGTTTATAAAATAAAATTCTCATGTAAAATGTTCATGGTAACTAATTCGCATCGCAAACATACTTTCACTGTTGCTCTCCACAATAGTGTGCAGACAGGTTTCCTATAATCACACTCTTTTGGCACTTTTGCATATTTTTTATTGAGTAAACTGCATTTTTGTGATGGTAAATTTAAAGGTAAATGCATAAATATCACATATATTTTTTATATTATTCCCATGATATTTGTTTTAAACTCTTTAGTTTCTTGTATGCACTTGTAACCTGCATAAAAAGGTTCTTAGTTAAATTTTCAAAAATGTACTGGTCAAAACTGATAACGAATGTTACGAGGAAGTGTAACGTATGTTAAATCTCCAACAAACAAAAACACTCATGATTAAAAATATTCCAAAATTGTTAAGTGCCAACATCTTTAACCTGTCAAAAACATTTATCTACGAAAACATCAAGTATTAGATACCAACATTAACCAATCAAATAAAAATAATCCTGTTTTAAAAACACACCAAGGATTTAAGCAATAGACAAACATGCTACAAACGAACTTCTGGATCTGCAATCTAAATGGAAGACCACATAATTTCATTAACTTTTTAGTCAGCTTGAATCTAAGCTCTTGTATCCATCGTGATATACTGTTATGATATCTATAAGAAACTAACAAAAAGTGTTTAACAAATAGTGTCAAATTAACAAGATATCAAATTAAATCCCAATACAAGGCACGTAACCTACGTTACCTCCTACGGAACCTAAAGTCCCCATTTGGAGAGAAGAAATTGAATTGAAAACTCAGATTCTAATTCACTGTCAAATGTAACTTTCAAGTAAACATGTTGATGATTAAAAAACAAGCAATTGTCACATTGTTAACATCATATTTTAAGAAAGTTATTTTAATTAAGAGGAGGAGACATGAAACCTACGTTACCATTATACCGTATGTGGTAAATAATTTGTGTTTATCATTAAATCTTAAATATTACTTACAGAATATAATCTGCGTATGTTTAAGGACTATTTGGTGCATGCTTACAATGGCTAATTTTCTCAAAATAGTGTACTAGGCCAAAGAATATAGCGAATTGAAAATTGAAACATTACGTTACAATATTATGAAACATACGTTACAATCTAATCACATGGTTAATAATCAGTAAACTCCCAAGGAAACTGTTCTTGATCGAAAACTTTATTTTAGTAAAAACAAATAGTCCTTCAAGGTTTTAATGCAACGTTTTCAGGTACTATTTAATTGTATAAAAATATCAAGTTATTATAAAGAAATGACAAAAGCCTTATCTTCAACTAAATTTTAGTCAGGTTTCTTCAGAAATATCAACAAGTTACTGTACTTCTACTATGCCGCAAAGTAAAGAGTGTCTCGTTGCCAACCACACCCCCTCAACGTCAAATAGCAGTTTACAAAGCACGTCGACGCTTTGTCATGATTTTAGTTAATTTTACATAGGCCATAGTAAATACTACAGTAATGTATGTTTCGGTAATGTAGGTTTTATTTTAACTTCGTCGTGTGTTAAAAATATGATGCAATCACCGAAGCCACCTACAATTTACTACCTGAAATGCAGATTTAATGCTATTACATACACCCAATATCTCGCGTGCATCAACCGTTCTATTTTTGGCTACGGTGGTAACATAGGTTTCATTTCTTAAGTATACGGGCGACAAAACACCCATTTCTTAGATTTTTTCTTTAAACTGGAGATTTATATTGCCCTAAAATTTACCCAGGAAGTAAAAACTTAGTCACTTGATTTTTATTAATGATGAATAATTAATTTTTAATTGAGTATGCATAATAATATGTCCAACTGCATGAACAGGTAACGTATGTTTCATTAAATGTTGCGACACAATTTAGTCATTAAAAAGATATTCTTAAAAGAATGTGATCATGTTGATTATTTTTTTTTCTTGTAGGCAATAAACAAAATTTGTTATATTAACTGATTTTAAAGTGACACACCTCCTTATTTTAAAATTATATATCAATATATTTAAATTTAGTGATTTGCGACATCAATGTATTGTCCTGTTTATAATATTCAATGAACCATATCTCCAAAAGTAATCATACCTAAATGCTGAAATTTCAGAGCATTCTAACTTTACATTGTTGTTACCATGTATCAAAAGTGATATTTGTCATTACTTTCGTAACTTTTGATTAATAATAAATAAAATGTTGGCGATACACTATTTGGCTAATTGGTAAATTTTAGTGGTTTTGACCCTGCTTGATACATCCCAAGTAGTTTAACAACAACAGAATGAATAACAACAGGGTCATTAATATATATTAAGGTGGGGTCAGGGGCATTGCGTTATTTAACCTGCACTTTAGTATGGTACTTTACAGTACCGGTAGTAGGCTTTAGATTTGCGAATACCTAGGATTACAACCAAATGATACATGATGATGAAATACAGTACTGGTATAGGCCTACTGTGATAAAAAAAAAAAAGTGTCCTGGTCATTTTCACGGTCATCTATATCAGGCCGGTATCCAGCTTTTTGAATGGGAGGGGGGGACTGCGTTTTGCGAGTGCAGCGAGCAACCAGGCCTAGTCCTAGTAGACTAATTTGAAGGCATTTTATCATGTTAATCTCTATATGTCCGTGAACACAGCGATAGGGCCTATCAAAAAAATTACTGGTGGAGGACATGGAGAAACAAGCAAATTGTTTCCCAAATGAAAAATACTACTGTATAAAATTCGTAACCATTACGAATAAAAATTCAAAATCAATTCTGCTTTTAAATGAATAATAGCAAAGTTTGATATTAAGAGTGGATTAAAAGCGACTGTAAATGAGCTGATTCAAACAACTAGAAGCATTTTAAAAACAAATTAATCAACATTTTTATTCTTGGCATCGACAGAAACATATAAGCATAATTATACTGTATGTATACGCTATCTATCCATTGAACCTGTGACAGGGTATACTGTATAAAAGGATCATCATGATAAGACTTCATTGCTATACACTGACATACCGGCTGGTAGTTAGGGGAAGATACACCTAGACGACAACGTGCATATAACGTGTGTATGTTTGTTGTGTTATGTTGCTGGCAGTACAAAAGATTGCGCGTGTGGAGTCAGCGCTCTAGTATTCTTATTGTAACTCATTTGTACATTCATACAAACTTAATACTTTACTGATATGTGATTCATTTTATAATGATTCTGGGAACTTCATTTTATAATGATTCTGGGAACAAGGTCACATTTTTTTTGGTTATACTTAGTGGACGTTTTTCGATTGGGGGGGGGGTGCGTACGCACCCAACGCACCCCCCCTGGATACGGGCCTGTATATTATTGTTAAAAGATAAAGTTGTCTCTTTAAATTAAAATGTGACCCCAGGTTTTCTTAAATTTACTGTACTGGGTGTTGAGTGAAATTAATACAACTGCAATGGTTTATAGTTACCTGATAATAGATGTAGCCTGCCTCTGATCAAGTTCAATACTATGGATAGGTTATTTGACCAGATAAATTTCATTTATTTTGATATTAACAATGCAATACAACATTTATTTTTATTAATACAATTTGGAGGATACAATCTCACCACAAGGCCCCTCCCCCTTGCACATTCCAATCCAATGAGAACATTTGTAAAGCGCCTTTCTTTGCATATACGAAGTGCTGCACCCCACATATTTAGGCACCTCACAACCTACAAGCAGCCGTGATCAATGCCTAACCCAAGCACAGAACAAGTAAACAAATCAAAAGAAGGAGTGGCAAAGCTTGTAAACATGAGTAAATAATGCAACAATAAAAATAAGAATAAAAATGGGATAATTAGTTAAAGAGATGAGTCTTTAAGTTAGACCTAAAGACAGCCACAGATGGTGAAGATCGAATGTGCACTGGAAGGTTATTCCATAAGAGTGGCGCCTCGCATGAAAAAGATTTGTTACCAATACGCTTGTTAAAGACAGGTTGATGGAAATTAACATTCAAAGCTGATCTAGTACGAATTTGCTTTTTACGTACAAGTAAAAAGTCAGAGATATGTTGTGGGCATAGGCCAGACAGTGATTTGAAAGCAAAAACCATTAATTTGAAATAAACCCTTTGCCTAAAAGGCAGCCAGTGAAGTTCACAAAGAAGATGTGAAGTGTGAGTATGAGAGGATCGGATGTTAAAAATAAGACATGCAGCGGAATTCTGCAACTTCTGTAATTTTAGAGAATCAGTTACAGTCAACTCAGAGTACAATGAATTGCAGTAATCAATTCTAGACAAAACAAGTGCACGAACTGCTACATGACAGGTGTCATAGTCAATAAATTTGCGAATCATCCATAAGTTAAGTATATGGTACTTGGTCGATTTACAAACTGACTGAACTTGATTAGAGAGCGACAGCGTGGAATCAAATGTGACACCAAGATTACGGACCGAGTTAGTGGGTAGAATCTTAAGTTCTCCAAGTGACAGAGAAGCCTGTCTAACGTGATCAAGCTCTAAGTGCCTCTTGGAAGCACAAATTAAGTTTAAGCTTATTCTTAGCCATCCAAATCTTAACATCCTTGATACATTACCTAAGCCTATCCATTTGCATTTTCAGGTTTTTCATTTTAATTTTCTGTTCAATTGATTTTTTTATTTATTTAATTTTTTCTGTTCATTTTATTTTTATTTGATTTGTATTTCTGTTATTTATTTATATTTGTTTTTTCAGGTGATCCACTTAAGAAACATGTGCTGCTCATCTGAAAGTGCTATCACTTTAAAGGAAGAATAAATAAATAAACTCAATCAAAATAATATAAATATTTACATACACTATATAGTAAAAAAGTGTAAGCATTAATTTTTAATTACATAAAAGCTGTATATTTATTAATTACACTAAACTACATAGCACACTGTGGTTCATCTACAGTACCACTACTGTACAATACTGCAGCTTTAGTACATGAATGTACTCTGTTACTGTACCTTAGCTTATCACCTACATCTATGTTGCCATTGTCTCATTATGATTATATATACCTATATTTTAGATAGTATTTTAGTTCTTTACATGCTTGCTCAGAAATTTTCTTTGTATGTTTGCTCATTTTTTTTTTGCTGGAAGTATGAAAAGAGCAAAAATGAAAATTGGTGTTGTTGACTTTATGTATGAAGGCAGCTAATGTAAATGAATTCACGTTGCAAAGTGAAATAAATCCAATTTCGAACTTACCAAAGCGAAGTCATTGAATATTTTAGAGCTCTCCTCGTATGTATCAGGGAGATCATTGGCCAAGTAATAAAAGAGGAAATAGAAACACCATCCAAGTACCACTGAATAATAAGCACTACATGAAAACAAACACATAACGTATAATGTTATCTTAATACTCTCATACATGCTTTAAAAACTAGAAATTGCAAGTTGCAAGTGAAGTGCTGCGAAGTACAACTGCATATAAATGTTCTTCGAACAAAATTATTTATGCGAGTCAAGTGAAAATAATGAATAATAAAACTATAACAAATAATATGAGACACGACCCATTGTCCATATTAGAACATTCATTGGGTAACAAAGTCGTAATTTTTCATTTTTGTCAAAAAGTGTCTATAGTGTGGTGAATTATGGTTTAGGTTTTTTTTAATAAAGTTTCAAAAATTTCTATGTATGTGGAAAATGTAGTTGATTACCAAAGGTTACAATTTTTATTTTGAAGACTACATGGTCTAGGAAGTGTACATTTTTTTATGGGGCAAGTTTCCAAGGGCGGGTTTTCTAGGGGCGAGTTGACTGCCAAAGAGTGTTGCCAAAGTGCGAGCCAGCGTGTTATTTGATCACAAGTGCGAGAAATATCACAATTGTGAGCCAGCGAGCCATGACGTCACGACAATAGATAGAGACGTTAGCCAGTTGTGCGAGGTATCGGCTGAGATTTGTGGAGTACAATTCAAAAAACAACTATAGGTCTAATAATGAATTATTGTGATGTTAAAAAGATCTAGATGTGTATAAGAGACAGGAATACATAATATATATTATTTAAGACAGATTTTTTAAATATTTATTATTTGGCAATATAAGAATGAATGAAGGAACCTGGCTTAAAATTTGTCTGAAATTATATAAAGATCATAAATGGTGGTAACCACACCATTAAAATCAATGAAATTTCTTTGCATGAAACAAAAAATTCCATTTTCAACAAGAAACACAACAATATTGATCAAATTACCTTTATCGCCGCTGTTGTTTGCCACTATCCTTGGAAACCGCCAGATGTTGCCTGTTCCAACCATGCAGCCAACACATGATAAAACGACTCCTAATTTAGATTTGAATGTTCCAGATTGCTTCTGAAAAGAAACGAGTTCAAGAAGAGAGTTATTCACAAGTGTCTCCTAATTCATTAAAGACATATACTGTATGTCATAATTGAAAATTTTGTTAATAGTTTTTTAAAAGTATGAACATTTGGGGCCAATTAGTTATGAATCTCTAGGGAATGAGGACTGTTGTCAATGTTAGAGAGACAGTTCATAATTTCCATTGTTCGCATTGCAACGGAATCGTATCTATGATGTTTTGAAGCCCATTACTTATCTCAGATATACATTTGATTATCGGCATGAAGTAGGGATGATTGCCATGAATTATATAAACTTACAATATCACATGAGCTATCAAAAATAGCTGGAAGATCACTCGTATTATTAAATTGAACTAGAAATTGCAAATTGCAAGTGAAGTACTGCGAAGTACAACTGCATATAAATGTTCTTCGAACAAAATTATTTATGCGAGTCAAGTGAAAATAATGAATAATAAAAATATAACAAATAATATGAGCACGACCCTTAGAACACTTCTCATTGGGTAACAAAGTCGTAATTTTTCATTTTTGTCAAAAAGTGTCTATAGTGGTGAATTATGGTTTAGGTTTTTTTTAAAATAAAGTTTCAAAAATTTCTATGTATGTGGAAAAAGTAGTTGATTACCAAAGTTTACAATTTTTATTTTGAAGACTGCATGGTCTAGGAAGTTTACATTTTTTTTATGGGGCAAGTTTCCAATGGCGGGTTTTCTAGGGGCGAGTTGGCTGTCAAAGAGTGTTGCCAAAGTGCGAGCCAGCGTGTTATTTGATCACAAGTGTGAGACATCGCAAGTTTGGGCCATCGAGCCATGGCGCCACGACAATAGATACGAGACGTTACTCGAATTGTGCGAGGTATCGGCTGAGATTTGTGGAGTACAATTAAAAAAAAAACTATAGATCTAATAATGAATTATTGTGATGTTAAATAGACAATATTAGCTATCAAGGAGCGACGTTGTTTTTCATTGGGACCTTCGTCCCTTCAAGGCTAGGCCTATACCATCCTAGCTAGTCTAGGCCTAGAGTAGGATAAGGCTAGCGCGACATGCGGACGTTGGTACGTGTTGGTTAGTCTACAAACGTCGCCTAAAGTAATTGATTTTACCCGGCAGAACAAAAGAAGGAAACTCCGCTTTTCAGCCGTCTTAGGCCCTTGTTTTTTGACAAACAATGACCTTTCAGAGGTCAAATTGCTGTCAAGAATATGAATTGGCTGCTTCGCAACAAATATTCTAAAAAAATGATTGTTCTCATGGCAAAATGCCTATCCCATATTATGACATTTGAGGTAAAAATGGAAAAGCCCCCCCCCCACTTTTGTGCCTGCTCCCAGCACCAGTAACAAACATTGTTAACGAACACTATACAATACAATATTATTTTTTTGGTGCTTAGATTTCGCCTTATAAATCAACCTTTTATTATTATACAATATATATTTTATTTTTTATTTTCAAATGAACATTACAAGTTCTCTTTTTGAGTTGAGCAACTATTGTGGTCCATACTGATTGATGTCTGTAAAGCGCACGTCTGTAATGTTTCCTTGAAACCTATCCTTAAGCATGAAGAAAGCAATGGAATCGCTCGCCCACCCGTCTTGCATAAATTCTGTATCTAGGCACAGGGTTCCATCTACAATTTAACAAAAACAATAAGATACTTAATTAGACATCTTTATCTCTCCTACTTCGACTTTCTGGGCCCGCCACTGTTAAAGCTACCATTTCTAGGCTCCTAGAAGTGTAATATGTATCCGTCAGGGGAAAAGAGAAGTTTCCGTAGGGGAATACCATATCATTATCAAGGATACCCCTCACATGATTAATAATTCATTGTGATCGTAGAAGCATCTGGACTTCGACTTTGTTGGGAAAATACAACAATTATGAAGTCATTTTACAGTAGCTTAATAACTATTAGATAACTAATACAATTCACCAAACTTCGTCAAATATTCCCCTTGTCCAAACATGATGCTCGGTTTGCTCTCATACTGGATTTTTTACCTTATGAAATGGTCCCCCTTCCCACTTTCAAAAACGCTCCGCCGCTGTTGTCCTAGGGGGAGTTTTTTCTGCTTCAGGCATTTTCAATGGTGGTGGGGAAAAACTGTTTATCTATTTACCCCTAGATACACAGCTGGGTCACATTCAACCCCCCCCCCCCCCCCCCCATTGCCTTTTTTCTGTAAACTAATTTTTCTAAGCTTTTCAACCTTGAGGTTGGCTGTTCAATCTCTCGCTGTGTGAATTTTGCTTCATGGTATCTGGGCAAATCACACTATAACTACCCTACGGTTGTCCCTCTCCACCCAGGAGTATATAGGTACATGGGACCAGATTTATCAAACTAGAAATCAGCTTAAATTCGTCTTAAGTCCATTTTTTTTGCTTAAAAGTCAATTTATCCATATTGCTTAGCTTAAAAATTACTTAAAATTAGAAAGTCGATTGTACGTTGGTGCCATCTAAGACGATTTTTAAGCCAAGATTTTGCTAAGATTGGGTAATAAATCAGCTTAAGATATTTTAGGGACATCTTAACTTTTTTGGCTTAAGACTTTTGATAAGCAGAGATTGATAAATCCCGGGCCTGGTATAGTATGTTCAAATTTAAAAAAAAAAAATGTGTTGATAAACGCTGATATGGAATTGCTCCCAGGAAGCTGAGTATGCGTTCTCAATGGCTCACCACCCCCTTATTTTTTTCAAAATTATTTTTTAAGGTGAAAAGAAAATTACATTTCCATTAAGTGCCATTTTCGGCAACCTACAACAGGTAGTAATAATAATAAAATGTTCTTACCTCAGCCCAATCACTACGTTGGGGCTGAAGTGGTGGACTCTATATCTGTCAAAGTCCCTACTGGATCCGCCACTGGTTCCATAGTTATGTGCTTGATTCCATGACCGTGCATTAATGCTAATGTCAACGCTTCGTTAGCCGAGAGGCTATTATATAATATAGTCTAACATTATTATTGTTATTTAAAATACTATCATTATATTATTTATGGGTGATAGTATAATTAATTGTAAAACTACGGTACAACCATCGACGCCAATGGCTTAAAAACAATCAATAATTGCATACCTGTGTTGTTGAAACGAGTTTAGTTGACGGATCAGCCATAGTCGATCCGTTCCGTCTGTATGTATAGTTTGCACTATATACGGAAGTTGTATAGTTTTAGTAGACAGGAGGAGCACAGATTTTGTTTACAGTACTGAATTGTAGTGCTGTGCAGTACCTGCAACTTTCTATGCGAATACCAGTAGGTCTTGCAAAATTAATCAACACGTACTCACAATGTGCTACTTTTGACATTGATTATTTATATAGAAACAGAAACCCTAGTAATCACATGTGTAGTGACACCTCACTCACTAGAGATAATCTCTTTGGTCTTGTGATTGCACTTTCGTTCGGATCCGCTGACTCTTGTTTTGTTTGTTTTGGCCGATTGCGGAACAAGATTGTTTGGAGAGGCACTGTATTATACCTGTCTCTTATACACATCTAGATGTGTATAAGAGACAGTTACATACCCCCCCCCCAACCCATAAATTATATCCTAGCCGTCACTGATGTCACCGCCAATCAAGGTGGCGCTGATGTGGTGTGGACTTAATTTTTATCAGCACCCTGTCCATAAATCCTGGATACACCACTGGTAACCACACTTCAAATTTAGGTTTTAAAGTTCATCAAATATAAAATTCAAAGGTTGAAAATATATTTTCTGCCAAAAATCGATTATATTTTCGTTTCAAATGTTAAAAGTTATCTCATTTTCCAGTGGCGGATTGAAGGCTCCCCCACCCCCTCCAATAAAAAAAAAATAACGAAGGAAATTCAATCTGAGAGTGCCATTTCCGGCCATCTTCGGGTGCCATAATCATAAAATGCCTTACTTCAGCCCCAATTATGATGGGGCTGAGGTGGATGAACCCTCTTTCTATGAAATCCCTCTTTGGGCCCCCCCCCACTATTAACGAACTCCTGTCCACCTTAAAAGGACGATCATTAGTAAACAAAAAT